GGTAATGAAATGTGAAGGTGAATTAATCAACATGACACGAGCGTAGGACAAAGAAAAATTCTGAGTCCCCGACAGGAATCGAACCCACGACCTCCCGAAAACCGGGCGGGCGCTCTATCCACTACACCAAGACCTCCCGGTGTGCCGGAGGTCGTGGGTTCGATTCCTGTCAGGGACTCGGAATTTTTCTTTGTCCCACGCTCGTGTCATGTTGATAAATTCACCTTCACATGTCATTACCGAGCTTAAAATTCACCATCTTTAACTCATCACGACTGATCTTCCCTATGAGCGTCAAAAATGTGTTCATGATATAGTGAGGTGTTCGTATTAAACCTGACGAGAAGGTTGTAAGAGGGGCTGGAAATGCTTGGATAATTAATCTCTTTGGAATGAAAGAGCCTATGCTCTGCTTACACAGAATTAGCCACATGCTAGCGATTTCTTAAGTCAGAATTCTATTAATTAGTTAAAGGTAAACTCTATGGATAAAAGAAAACGTATCTTGAGTGTTTTCGAGCACCTCAGACCACGAGTTATTGAGAGCCGACCATTATAAGGTTAGTCGCAGAAAATAATTTTAACTTGTAAAGATTTGAGTCACATTTTCGAAATCTTGCTCTAAGGTTGGCTATCAGTTTATGCTAGAAACTATCTGTATCAGTAATATAGAGGAGCAGGGTTCACATAACATTTTAAACATTAGCTAACTTGTTATCTTATCGAAAAAAACACGCTCTATTGTATTCGAGGTAGGGATGCTGCAACATTAATATTATAAACACAATGCAAGTGTAAAACTCTTTGGGTATCCAAAGTTTTGGATCTTTCAGCCTTGCTCGCTGTTGATGACGTCGTTTTATCTTTGCTGGCCTGGTGGTGACTAATCCTTTAGCTATAAAACAGAATACATATAGCTACGTTTGTCGAGTAGAAAAATACCGCCTTACTTTTTCAAAAATACAGTTTAATTGAAAAGAATACAAGGACTAACGTAAATCGTGTAGGCTTGATAACTGCTACAAATACTAAATTGTTTAATTTCTCATTCTTCATCATGATGTTGACAAACTGGTCTGGTAGAAGGTGTGCTTTGAATAAAGTTTTTCCTTTCGACGAAAGGACGTGATGTAAGGTGCTATATCGATGGAGTGCAGCATGTAATCTGTTAAAACTGAGTTGAATATTTTAGTGACCCCTTTATTATTTACGAACGAATTTCTCATTTTCCGTTCCTGTGAGGCTGCCTATAGAATAATATTATATTCCGGTGTAGGCATTTCCTCTCGTAACTCGATAGTATTGCAACTTTTGTCGTCTTTCTTCTCCATCTTTTGTTTACTAAAGTCAGAACATATGAAATTGTTGTGAACAGGCAGATTTTGCAACCAAACAGTCCCCCAAATGAACAGTTCTTTCACTTTTTTTTTTAGACAATGCACCTGACTCACTTAGGCGAGTTATCTCTGTTAAGCGTTGTTAAAGTTCTCCGCAACAAGGAACAAAAGAACTTACAGTTTCCAAACAATCTGATTTTAATCAAAGTAAAGTCGAACCTTCGTAAACGGGCCGTTTGACACTTAATCACGGTCCCAACTAAATGCAAACACTAAATTTTAATGAGTCCAAGAGTGGTTCCACTGAAAAATTACCTTCGTGGTGTGCAATGGTACGTAAACATGCAATGTCTTTTGTAGGGTTTGTTTTAGCACAACGTTCCTAGTAACCTTACTGATTATTGTATACGTGCACTGCGCACTGTGCCATGTTGACACGGAACGTGTTTTGAAGTTGTGAACACCTGTATTTTTTCCCTAATTTTAATCCTATAAAATAGTTAATTTTAAGAACTAATTGTTGTACTACATTTCTTTCTTCAGAAGTACGTCTAAAAAATGTGGCTTTATTATCTGTTGCTCACCGTCGGAGCAGCTAAAACAGGTAAGACACCCCCAGTGAGAACGATTCTAAAGTAAATTGTTGACAGTTTTTTTCCGCTCGACTTTCACTGTGTCGCCTTGCGTCCCGAGTAAAGAAAATGTAGAAGCAGGCAACAGTAACCACATGAATAAGAGAAAAGGGATCGGCACAAAATCCTCGAATTTACCAACGAAACGGAGAACGAATGAGCTTACCATTGACAACCAATCTTCCCCATCTCCACATGCTAATATCAGAAATGTCCCAGAATGAGTCAAGTTCAATAGGCTAAAAACTGCATTTGATATTGAAAAGTTTATATTGGGGCTACTTCCAAGTTTGCTGTAGCCCAGTTGGAAACTGCTTTATACAGTGGTGGCCTGTTGTAAAAGTCTAATGCGACTTAACTTGTTTTTACAATCCTCTTCTATATTTACCGAAAGATGATCATAATAGTAATAACGGTTTCATTAGCAAATTCAAATTTAAAAAAAAGTTAGCGCCCCTATGCTAATATAAAAGGATAACAGCTAAAAATACAACTCGTTTACAATAAAACACTAAAGTATATAAGCCTTTCTTGAGATTTTCCTTTTCCTGATTGTCACTTGCTAGTTTTTCAAGTTACATATATGACTGATTGTTTTATAGTCTCTGGCCAGGATTCCAAAGTTAGTATTGCCGGCACCGGAACCATTAGTAGAAACGGCAAGACCTCGCTAAACATACAAGTTGAGATAGATGGACTAGGGCCAGGAAGCCCCGGTGCTGGAGTGGGAGGTCTGGGTGTCGGAGGGGGTGCCGCTGGTGCTGGAGTGGGAGAAAAGGCAATCGGAAGTAAGTAAAAGTCAAACATTCATCACATTTCTGTAATTAATTTGGTATTTCTATAACTTAGAACTCATCTTAATTTGCGATTCTTTTTGCTGCTATCGCGATACCTTTTGAGTTGGATGGGTTGAACCATTTTTCTAATTTTTTTTTTCTGTGACAACAAAAAGATGGCGAATCAAAGATGATCAAATTTATGAAAAATTGAAAATATGAGAAAAACCGATTACTTTCATATACATTTGATAAAACTTGTGCAGGGGTTGACGCCACCTTCTACTCCTTGGATTGTTTTTCTTTTTTTCTTCTTTCAAAGCTAATTTGTATACTATGGGCCAAACGCAAAGGTTAAAACAAGAATTACTTTAAATAGGCTAAAATGCGGTCTTTTGGCAAGCGACCTTTAACTTGCATGCAAGGCCTGGTTTTCAATACGACTTCTCAAACTCAGTAATAATTCATCAAGTTAAAAAAAAGAAAATCAAAACCGTGAATGAGGTTTGGACACCCGGTCTTAATTAGCATGGATTGTGACGATTTTACTTCTCCGTTTACTCCTTTGTTTTCACTGCGATTGGGAAGATATATCAAACATTCGAGACAGTGTTTCCTCGGCTATCCAAAAACCTCGAATTTCGTCAAAAATACGCCGCTGCGCACCGTATTTTCAACTGTCTTCTCGGTGTTTAGTTTTCCCGATGAAATACTGTCTCTCGTGTTTGACATATTACATAAGAACAAGCACGGGCAAAACGATAGTGAGGACGCCCACAACACAAGCATTATAAGTACGTAAGCCTGTGCAGAATGTATAATTGTCTTCTTTCGGATCCATACCTCAAGCACAAGCAAGGGAAGAAGAAATTGTTTTGATTGTTTTATTATTTATGTGTTTGTGCTTATACTTGTGTTCTGGACGACCTTACTACCGTTGTGCTTATGCTTATACTTGTGTTTATGTCGTAATGAAAACCTGGTTCAACCTTAACTTTTCGAGGCTCCACGTATGTTTAATCAGTTTAATCGTGCCCATTTTGAAACTGTCCAGTGAACTTCCTGCCTTCGTTTTCAGTGTTTTCTGACGAAGAACAAGCAGGTTTAGAGAAGCACAATGCATTCCGGATGATACACGACGCTCCGGACATGACTTTAAACAAACAAATGTGCGAGGAGGCGAAAGCATATGCCGAGCAACTCGCACAAATGGGTACACTTACGCACTCTTCCAGTGGCGATGGCGAAAACCTTTCCATGGGATGCTCCACCAACAAGGCGCAAACTATGGAAGAAGCCGTGACAAACTGGTGAGATTTACTGACAGACTTTGATTTGAATTTTGGTAAAACTGGGCGCTTTGATAGGATTCATGTGACATGCTGTTTATAAAAATGTTCTACGCCTTGTAAGGAATAGTAGAAATCGAAATAAGTCGCCAGACCTGGCCTTTCTCACCATTTTAAACGTTTGACGTTTCGAGACATAATTAGTTATCTTAACCGTTGCTTACTACTCGGGTTCACGTGACGAGTTTTTCTATACTTTCACGCATATATCAAACAAGAAAGACCGTGTTTGACCACATTTCCAAACACCGAGAACAGAGTTGAAAATACGACGCATAGAGGAGTATTTTTGACAGATATTGAGATGTTTGGAAATATGGTCAAACACTGTCTTGAGCGTATGATAAATCTTCTCAGTCGATTCTAAAACTAAGCAGGAAACGAGAAATAAAATCGTAAAAATCTATGATAATTAAGATCACATATCCAAACACCATCTCGGTCATGAATTCCTTTGTTTAAACTTGATGAATTATAAATGGATGAGAATTTTGTTTGCATCAGGCACTGTGTAAACAGGCATTTATATTTATTACATAATCTATTTCTAACGTTTTTATACGTTATAATTTCATATATCACTTTATCACTATATCTTTATCACTTATCTTTATCACTTATCTTTATCACTTATCTGATTGAACGAGGAACAAAAACACCACTTTTCTCGCAAATCTCCAAATTTTCTTAATTCAATCTTACCACCATCAAAGTTCACTCTCTCTTTGAAGTGCAGGCTAAATATCTCGTTTAATTTAAATGATGATTGTACTGAGGCACGTTCAAATGTAACACTATAGCTAAAATCCACTCTAACTAGGGAAGTCTAGCATTTACCAAACCATTCAAAAATTCCGTTTGGACAGCAAACGGAAAAACTATTTTGCTAGCCCGACCAGAAAATTTCCGAAATTAACACAAAGTCTTGACAAGTGATCCAAAAAGTCTCAAACGGAACAATCGAATGAAAAAAATTACTTGTCATTCATCTTTGCGCAATTTCCACTCGAAAGTTTTTCTTTCTATTTGCCCTAACCGTCAACCAACCATAACTCCCAAACTGAATACTTCTCAGCTGAGAATCATGGCATCATATCGCTGCGCTAGTGCCTCCTGAGAAGTTAAATTAAAGGACCTCAGTCACGGTATTTTGAGTTATTTTGGCCACATCCAAAATTACCTTTAAATGGTAGGAAACCTGGTAAATAACAGTTTAATAAGATAGAAAAACACCAAAGACATAATGATTAACCATAAAGGAACAAGGATGGCTAAGGATGGAGAAGATTAACACGGATTACAAACGACGAATTTGAAAAATTGAGGCTAAACTTTTCAATATGCGCAAACCGTGACTGAGCTCCTTTAAGGCATCTTTCCAACCTTGGCCAGCACAGTCTTGCGCAATAAAACAAAGCAAGGATAAGATGAGGTATAAGATCCCCGGCAGCCATCATTGCAAACAAACCAAATACATTAAGGCTAATTTCAAAATACACGCTGCATCACCAGATCGAAACTATTAATTTTGTTGCTATTTTGGACTTCTCGTTCTGATTTTCTCCACCCGTCCACAATGACAAGTTGAAGTGATATACAATCATTTCTTAGTCCACATTATTACATAAAAACAAATGAAATACAAGGTGAGTTTTCGCGCGAAAACATGATATCTTTACACGTGAAAATAACACGTTATCTAATCATCATACGTGAAAAGATCACTGTTTCTATGGTTACATAATAAATGACGCCTTTCTCAGCGAACGTAAATTGGCTTGGGATTTCACTAGCGTTTACATAATAAATGAAGCATTACATGGCCACTTGGAGATACAAAATTTTATTTCTCTTCTCGTGCAGTGAAATATTCTTCAACACGAGAAGAGAAATTTTTTATCTCCGATGGGGCATGTAATGTCCTCTAGTTACACTATTTTACTATATTCAATAGAACGTGCAAACGTTATCTTCGTCATTAGCACGCGCCTTTTTGCGATCGATTATTATCGGATGATGTAGGATATAGCGCGTATTCACTCATGTGTCCAGCAGCCATGCAAATTTATTTCAACAAAAGAAAGTGTTCACATAAGAAAAGAGTTGAACTCGCACAGGATTTGTTTGGTACAGCAACATGGCCGCCGTTTTGATTGGTTTGGAACACCAATATGGCTGCCATGACGTCATGTGCATACGCTCCATGTGCCAAAGACTAACAGCCGAAATACTAGAAAATGGCATAACACTGGAATAATAAATCCCTTATTTGACGGTTTAATATTAACCCCAAAATATATGCACGTACACCCACCCTATTTTCCCAGTGGAACATTAACTTCAACGCAGGCCATTTCTCGCAGGTACAACGAGGTGTGTCAACCTGGATACAATTTCGACTCCGGCGGGTTTAGTGGTGGAACGGGCCATTTCACGCAAGTCGTGTGGAAAGAAAGTACGGAACTTGGCATTGGACGAGCCGAAACTCAACAAAGTGGCATGAAGTGTGCATATATCGTCGGAAGATATAGACCAGCAGGGAACATGATGGGAGATTTTGCAAACAATGTGGTGAAGGGAAGATTTGACGCTAGCAGTTACTGTTCCTCAGTTTCAAATCCAGGTTGGAAAAAGAAGTTCTTGGACAAGCAGGGGCGAGCAACGGCCACTATCTTAACGAAGGATTCAGAGCACGCTCAGAGAGTGAGCACTGGGTCTGCTGAGTTTCGGAAACAGCGTCTCGAGGTCTTGAAAAAGAAGAAAACTACTGTGGCCAAAAAAACATGATTAATGGTTTGCCTATGGAACTTGAAACGTGTATGATTAATTTAAGATAAAATGAATAAAGGTCAAACTGAGATTTATTTTTGCGGAGTTCCCTTATTTTTGAAAATCTTAGCCTGAGCGTGTCGCTCTAAGAACCTTGCCTTAACTTCTCAACTTTTTTGGACTTAGTAAAAAAATCCTGTTTTAGCTCAATTATGTGTATCGCGTGACTCCTTTTTTTAAGGTAGAAGCAGTTAAAGCCAAAAATTAAGGGTGTAAAAAAATATAAAAGGGCCGCCTGTTTTACTGCAATAGAGGGATTTATCGTCCTACACTAACAATCTTGTACAAATAATACAAAATCCAAAACGGTAATTTAATACTGGAAGTGGGCCACGAATTTTAAATGGTTTTTATTTTACAGTCGAACCTCCTGTAAGCGACCACCCAAAATGTCGAGCCTTGGTGGTCGCTTGCGGGAGTTGGTCGCTTACGAGAGCAAAGACCATACTGGGTCCAAATTTTGCCTCATTAGCATATGGAAACTGCAGAGACTTGCCCCATGCGGTAAATGTTTCATTCATGTGCAATTTAAAGTCAGTTTCGGGAAAAAAATCTGGTACTTCCCACTGAGAAATGTACCTCTCTTATTTGTACAACCCAGCAATGCGTTAATGTTACAACACCTTATAATCCAATTTTCGCTCTATTATCTGTCAACTGTGTCAAGTGGTCGCTTACGAGAAGTTAAAACAACAGAAAATTTCAAACTTTTAGCTCTAAAAGTGGTCGCCGTTGCTTACGAGAGGTGGTCGCTTACAAGAGGTTCCAAATATAGTGATTTGACTTGGAATTTGGAAAACTGGTCGCTGAGGAGAGGTGGTCGCTTACGAGAGGTGGTCGCAACCGGAGGTTAGACTGTATTAGATTGGCAGAACGGGGGGGAGGGAAGGGTGCTAGAATTTTTGGATATTTACTTTCAGTCAAGCCTTAAAAACACAGTGGTTAATAGATCAAATTTAGCGTGTCAAAGTAAAGGTCTGATTATATACATATGGCACGCTCCGTTGCCTTCGCAATTTAATTTTACAAACTATTTTTTTTTTCATCGTTTTATTCAATATCGTTAGGACCTAGCGTTAACAATGCTGTACTCTTGAGTTGTTATCTTGCTTTCTTTTGCACAATGAGACGTTCCGCATTCATCTTCTTTACTGCAGTGGGACAGTAAACATCTCGGTTAAACGATCCTTTCAATACATTCACTCTGTACGAGCCTCCAAAATTGCCAGCGGGTTTGTATCGACCAACAATGTATGCGCACTTCATTCCGTCTTGTTCTATTTCTGCTCTGCCAATACCGAGTACGACGCTCTCTTTCCAAACAACTTGTGAGAAGTGTCCAGCCCCGTTTGGTCCATCCTCAATCTCTCCCAGTCCTTCATACCCGGGATCGCAAACCTCGTTATACCTGAAAGACATACATGAACTTTATTTATATCGCACAGATGCACTTAACTTGGTATAAATGCCAAGTGGCTATTAGTTTTATTCGGAGCATGTCGAAACGAAGGAAATCACAGTGAAACCACTAAAGATAATTAAACATCTTTCAGAAACACAACTTACATTAAAGCAATAAGATTTCGCTTCACCATGCAATATCAACAATTTCGATGGCATCAAAGATGGCTGAGGCTTACCGGTCCTTTAAGCTTAAAAACAGTCGAAAATATTGAACGCAACACCAATGAGGCGGACACGGTTTTTTTTTGCCACTTGGTTACTTTTGGTAAATATTTTGATAATTTGTGTGTTTTTAGTGTACTTTGGCTTGCAGTCTGTTGCCCGAAGGAGATAAACATGTTAAGGCAGAGACCAGATAAGATCGATAAGGTAAAACGCGGGATGATAACCTGCCTTGCTCAGAACACTGCAAAATTTATGAGCGATAGAAAGAGTTATTTTCAAGCTCTGAGAATATAGCGTAATTGTTAGTTTTGAGGTAGATGTAATCGGGAAATTGGACCTCTTTATCGACTGTACCACCAGTTTTTTGTGTGGACTTTCGACAGCTTCACATAGACAGGGAATGTTTCTCAGTTTACAATGGTTATAATTACCAGCTTGTCACAGCCTCTTTCACTGTTTGAGGTTTGTCGGTAGAGCAGCCCATCGACAGGTTCTCACCTCGATTTGGTATCTGATCTTGAGTTGAATGTACTAGGTCACCCAGTTCTGCGATATATTTGGCCCACTGGGCAGCGGAATTACACATCTCACGATCCAGCGTCATTGGCGGCGCATCGTGTATGGCACGGAGACGATTATGCTCCCTCAGGCCATTTATCTCTTGCTGAGAAAATACTGCATATAGGATAAAGGTTTATTAATAGGTCAATCAAACAACTCATTTGTCAGCTAGTCAGTGTCAAAGTCGCTAAGTCACACAAAGTCGATCAGTCCATTTCAGTCAGTCCATGTTGGTCGGTCGGTCAGTCTGTTAGTCAATCAGTCAGTCAGTCAGTCAGTTAATTAGTCAATCAGTCAATACATACGTACATGTATTTCATATTTTATTAATTATTAGATAAGTAATCGTAATTAGGTGTCCACAATTACTATACATTGTATGCTAGCGACTTCGACACTTTGATAAAGTTCTTATCTTATCAGTCAATCAGTCAATCAGTCAATCAGTCAATCAGTCAATTAGTCAATCAGTCAATCAGTCAATTAGCCAATCAGTCAATCAGTCAATCAGTCAATCAGTCAGTCAGTCCGTCCGTCTGTTTGTCCGTCCGTCCGTCAGTTCAGTCTGTTGGTCAGTCCAAAGCCACACAGTCTGCCAGTAAGTCAGTCAGTCGTTCCACGTCAGTCTGCTGTCAGTCAGTCAGTCAGTCAAAGTCAGTTCGTCAGTCAATCCACGGAACATGTTACTAATGGAGAGGCTTTTAACAATTAAAATTGTAATGGGTTATCTACTCTTACTTCCTGTTGGGAGCACATTAGTAGCATTTTCTGCCGCTCCTGGGCTACCTCCATTTGTTCGTGACTCTGTTAACAACAAATGAAATCCCAGCTAGACAACGTCATGTGAACTTGTATAATTAATTTGAATAAACGAGTAACCGGCTTATAAAACTGTTCAATAGTCTCAGGGAAACAGTTAGTGTGCTTTTTCGAGGGACTCGTCGTTAAGAGCATAAAACAAATCGATCATTAGGTCCACAAAAGCTGGCATACGATGTATTTATTTACATGAATTTACGAGATTATCGTCTACCAAGATGCAACGATACAAGTATTAGACAAGCCCGATGAAAAATGGCAATATGTACTGAACTGTGATAGCCATATTTAGAATCGATTACAAAACAAATTGCGATGGTAATGTATTTGCGAGCTTAAAGACACTTTATTATGGAAAAACATGTAACCTATTGAAATACCTTAAATGGTAAAAAAAAAAAACAATTAGCTAGATCCTAGACCTTTTACTGTATATATACTTTACATGGGCTGTAATAGGCCATTTCCAAGTTACCTTGTGCTTTGGCTTCAAAACTAGTCCTGGTACAAAACTTAGCCCTCATTTGAAAATGAGCTCGGCCTGCATGAGAAGGAACCTGTAGGTGTAACACATTTTTATATGTGCAAGGCAACTGGGAAATGACCAGATGTTAGCCCTCATCCGAATCTCAGAATATTTTTTATTGCATTGTTACCTGATAAAGCTCCAGTGACAGCCGCAAGGAACACGGAATAAAATAACATCACAACTTTGTCACTAGGAAATTAAATAACGAAAANAGACTCACTGTAATCTACAATTGTGTGTCCAGCTTTGAAGCTGAGTCTGTATCTTTGAACCCATTTGTTAGGGACTGTTCCTCCCTGTGTAGCAATAGCTGTGAGCTTGTAAGTTTTATCGAGATCAATTTCTAAGTAAGCTTGTGTTTTTGATGGACACCAAGCGGAGGGACCATTAAGTCTTGCAGCATTCGGTGGATAAGCAGCGTCTGTTAAGGATGCGGGTGATCTGATCGTGATAGCCCGATTGTTATTGTCCTCCAAACCAAGAGGCCTTGCACAAACTGAAACACATAACAATTAATCATTCACGTTGGAGAGACAGGTTTCAGACATTGAACAATTACAATAATTATGAGAAAAATATGCAAAATCTATTTTTCAAAAATTAAATTAAACAAAAATAAACAGGTATCAGCCCGGAAAGTAAAGAGCAAAACAAAAACGTTACAAAACAAAACAACAACAACAACAAAAAAACAAACAAACAAAAAGAGAGAGAGAGAGAGAGAGAGAGAGAGAGAGAGAGAGAGAGAGAGAGAGAGAGAGAGAGAAACATTTAGATACAACAGCAAATTACCAGGTAATTTCCCTGTGAAAACGGAACTTGACTGACCACCATCCACCAACATCTAGGCACTACAGCGACTTTCGGGGTAATGAGAGCCAGTTGTCTCGAGAGAAACTTCACTTTTGCTAAACTTAGATCTAAATTTTGTTGCTACACACAGTAATGAGCCGACAACTTCAAAGACGTCAGATCATATCTTATATAGAAACTACGAAAATGGGTAACCTTTGTGAATTAAGTAGTGTCTGTATTTTAGTTCAACAAGTTTCCTGTCAGGTAGTCAAGGACAAAATTTATTTATTCGTTTTATTACAGGAGATAAGAGGTTTCTACTGAACGCTTGTCAGTTCCTTTAAAATCATCGACATCATCATTATGATACCAGTTTTTTAGCCTCTGAAAAGCAATGCAAGGAAATTTAAAGAAGATAAATTGAAGCGGAGAATGCTTTCCTTATTTCGTTAAAGATAGCATACAGTGAAAAGTTTTGAATATATTAAGGGGAAACTAAAGTTTATCGGAAAAAAAAAAGAGTGACTGAAATGAAACGTGTTGCACAACACCCTTCCAAGAACGACTTGCAATTATAGATATTATTCAATATAGCAAGAACAACTGATGACATTGAGCCTGACAGGATTTAACTGATTCCTTAACAGGCCTCTCCAAATCATGATTAATTAATTGAGTTACAAGAAAGAGAGTTTATAACCATGACGGTTTTCCACTGTTTCCCCTTTGGCTAAAACTATAAGTTGTTTATAAGAAGAATAAATCATCCTAGAGGGTGTTCACGACTATATATTGGGAAAATCTCAACTTTGTTCTCGTTGCTGTCGAAACAACCTTTTTCTGTCCGACCACATTACCTGTTATACGCTGCCATGTTTTGAAACCATTTAACCGACTTGTAACTCTAAGATCGTTTAGAATATATCTCTAAACGTTGAAATATTTTCTTAAACGAAATTACAGTTTGAAAAAGGAATTCAAAACGCTTACCTTCAAGTTTGCGTCGATTTACTGTTTGTAGATTTATTTCCCTTGGTTTAAACCCTCTTTAAAAAATGTTTGAAGGCACTCAAAACCCTCTCTTGCTTTAATTAGAGAATCAATAAAGTTTTCCGTTAAATAATAATAATAATAATAATAATAATAATAATAATAATAGTAATAAAATTACCTACCTGTCCAACTCACGCTGTGAAGTCAAAATGGATAAACGAGGGGTCATTAGCTTTACCGATGTTGCGTTGTTGTGAAAGCGCTAAACAAAACACAGAACTTGGGTCCAAGGAGAAATTTGAAAACGCAACAATTACCAGTCATTTTGGATTTGTGTTTGAGGAAAAATAGGGCGTGGAAATCGCATGAATTATCAAGATGTCATCGTTTAATTTTCGAAAAGCTCCGTTTTCAAAATGTTTTCCGCCAATACTAAAACGCAAAGCCGGTGTTTTAAAATTCCTCCGGTTTGAAGAGCGTTCTTGGAAAGCTCCGTTTTTGTGACGGATTAGTGTGGATGGTAGGCCTAACCGGAGAAATAAAGTTGTGTTTTCAAATTTCTCCAGCGTAATGTGGACGGGAGCTTAATTTAATTTATAATATAGATAGGACCCTGCGCGCGCACTGATTGGTCAAAAACCCATGTTTTATCAGAGTATAAAGTGTTTTCTACATTTCTCATGTGTTCCTAAATGCCCGTCGAGTTTTATCACAGTGTAATACACGGCTTAGGCTTCTTTATTTGTTAAATAAGCGATACAAATATATAACAAGGCGAGCAAATACGGGAGAGATCGATGAGATATGTAGAGACCTGAGCCGAGTCTTAGCAGTACATTGTATACCGTAAATTTCGATTTCAGTTTTTTACCTTTCCAGTGAGGTTTTTTTGTTATATTTTATGTCCTCCAGTTTTGAACTCGGCTCAGTTGTCTCAAACCGCTCAAAACAATTATGTTAAATGTTGAATGTTAATAGTGGTCAATGCGCTTAGATAAAGAAAGCCATTTCTCAGGCACGCCAGTAAACTGAAAGTAAAAAAGAATATTTCAAATAAACCCAACTGTTTGAGGCAGTCCAGTTGGCTATTTACAAGCATAACCGAGGGTCTACCAAGAAACAACTCCAGCTTAGTGGTCAGAGCGGGACTTTTTAACCCGTGCGACTCGGACATGCTGTCTCCACAAACATTACCACACTGATTTTTTTCTGAGTTTCTCTTTGCGAAGAAACTCAGAAGAAGAAAGAAACGTTTTTCTTTTTTCTTTTAGCAATTGTTGTGTTTTGAAGGATCCCGATATAAAAATGGGATTGTGGAATTTGAATCCATGACGATAACGATTCCACATTTCAAGACCTAACCTTACTGCTGCTGTAGCTAGTCAAACAATATTGAGTGTTATTTACTGATGTAAAGAAACGTATTTACAATAACTGTCGAATTCCTTGATAACAAGGGCAAACAGTAAGATACTTTCAGCAATAAGAAAATGCCAAAACTCAGTTTTAGTTGAATTTTTTGTTTTTATTCAGCGTTATCACAGATATTGCACCCATGTTATTGCATTCCCACTGTTAAACCATTCCCCTTACGTATATATAGCATTAATCCAAGGGAAAGCGCATTACTATTGCTTGAAAGCTTATTATCAGTTTGTTGACTCTCACTCTTTATTAAGACCGTATTGTGTCGCAGTAAGTAGAGTTAAAGTAACCCTTCGGCACATTTTCCTTAAAACTCCCCAGCATGTTCCCCGCTGATTTATATCTTCCGACAATGTAAGCACACCTTTGGCCACCTTGTTCTACTTCCGCGCGTCCAATGCCAAGAACCGTGCTTTCTTTCCACACCACTTGTGTAAAATGGCCTGTCCCGGATATGCTACTTCCTTTGTCACTTGTGGCACTTGTGAAGTTGTATCCTGGATCACACACCTCGTTGTACCTTAAAATGGATTACTTGTTGAAAACAACCTGTCCTGGAACTAAATATACTATAACTGTAATAATGATTTGTATTGAGAATAAAGGTTGTTGTTGTTAATGTGCAGAATCTATCTGCTTAATTAATATCTCCTTATATGTATCTTGTTCCTCACACTTAAATACAATATATACATAAATCATATGGGTGCTACTTTGACTGAGCTCTGTTTGCTGGGTATATAATAAAACTCAGCACTCCCAAGTGGGATTTATTGGCCACAGGTGTGGCCGTTTATTTTTATAGCAAGCTTAGAAAGCTTAAATTACAAACATACCAAAGTATCCGCCCGGCAAAGGTGAGGGAAAAACCGCCAGCTAATGCAGAAAGTTAAGAAAATAGGGGGAGTGGAGGGAGGGAAAATTCCCTTCACTTGCTGAGAATGCAGCACAAAAGAGAAGGTGGACCACACTTAGCGATATCTATATCCCGGATGACAGAAACTCCCCAACCAAGTACTGGGTCAAGTTATCATCTATTCTGGTAAAATAAATTCACTTTAATTTTACAACGCTTTAACCAGAAGAAAATGGTCTAATCAAACTCTTCAGCATCAAACGCAGTTCTCCCGATTACACAAAGGTGAAAGAAATGAAAAAAAAAAAAAAAAAAATTAAAGAAACTGTTGGCTGGGTCGGTGGGTGAGTGAAAAACTTGGCTGAACAAACCGATTCCATGTTGCCGTATGTTTGTTCAGTAACTGGATCACAGATGACGTGCACTTAACAAATAGATTCCATGTTGTCGTGTGTCTGTTCAGTAATAGATCGGTCGCACACTCGCCTTATGTGCCACATTTTAATTTTTACAACAAATTTGACGTCCGATGTCTGTGATCTATTACTGAACAGACGCACGGCAGCATTTGATCGTAAGTAAGAGCCAATCAAAAGGTAAGTATACGTTATTTCTTATAACAGGAAAACAGCACACCAGACTCTCTCGGTTATGTTTTCAGTCACAGCAACCCATAACCTGACGTTGGTCAAGCATTGAACTAAGCTAAAGAAATAATTCTCACCAGTTTGTCACGGCTTCTTCCATGGCTTGTGCCTTGTTGGTAGAACATCCCCTGGAAAGGTTTTCGCCTTGTCCAAGTCGTTCCTGTTGTGAAGAATGCGCGAGAGTCCCCTTCTCAGCGAGCTTATGGGCGAATGCTCCAGCCTCATCACACATTTTTCTGTCCAGTGTCATTAAAGGAACTTGGTGTACTTTTCGGAACATATTATGCTTTGCTAAACCTGTTTGTTCTTCCTTGGTGAACTCTTCTTCTGCTGAGGAAACAAGAGAGCAGAAAAGTGAAAACTGAAGCCCACCGAACTCATTTGCGTCTATAAATCGGTAAAAAGTGAGGAAAAATGAAGGAGATAATCTCTCTAGGTCTTAAATATTTCACATTTATTCCACACATAAGCAAGAAACAGGCATGTTGTCTAGTGATATTTTTTCGTTCGGAAAATCACTTGTGTATTAGCTTTTTTTTTCTTGCATTTGCAGGAGGGTCTGGAGAAGGGGGGGGGGGGGATCCTGATTCCACATTCCCGCTCCTTTTTCACGAGAATCGCGCATCCCGCACATTTTTCATCACTACCCCGAATCCCGTTTTTCTTTCCCAGAAAAAATACATTGAAAAGTCTAATTTCCACAGAACCTAATAAATTTAAGCTGTAGATTGGCCCTTTCGATTGATATTTTGAATTTACGCGTGTTTTTTAAAGGCTCCTGCAGAAAAGAAGTAGCTTTTTGTACCTTATAGCAATCATGACCTCGGGTTTTCTCCGAGGCATTTACTCTCAGCGATTTCTGCTAACCCAGTGAAGGTTTTTGAGTGCTTCACAAAGTTGAACAGGTCTTTGTGTTCGTCGCCGCTTAGCGGAACATTTAATTTCTCTTTGTGGATCGCCGAGGTTCTGGCGCTTGAACTAGAAGTATCGTCGGTGGCCGCAAGATAATACGAGACCAAAACTCTTACTGTAGCAGAGCTGGTATCACTATTTGCCATATCTGGGGCCATCTAGCGGTTAAGCTGTTGAAAAAATTTCCTCAAGATTACTATAAATGTGAACCTGTGAAGAGACTGAAGAGCCTGAGCAACTGAGCCAATTGAACATCGAATGAATAACTGGTATGCTATTACACCACGTGCACTTTTCTGGCATCTGATTGGAACAAAATACTCTCCGACAGTTTCAGTTAGATAACTATTAACCAGGCACACGCTGTAGTTTGGTTTGAAAGGAGACACCACTTAGCGCTCACCTGGTTGATTCGCTTTGGCCGCTAGAACGTTTATTTGAGTCATGACGATTTCCCGAATTCCCGACAGACAAGCGAAAAAAAATCCCGCATCCCGTGTCCAAATTTTGGCGAGTCCTGCTTCCCGGGGAGCAATCAAATCCCTGATCCCGTCAAGATATTTATCGTTTTCCCGATTCCCGCACCGTATTTTGGTCAAATCCCGGATCCCGAGAATACCCTTCCAGACCCTCTTGCAGCTTAAAGTTCGTATTTCGTAATTAATGTGCCTTCCTATAATAATCATCCCGCTCTTTTAAGAGTGTTTTCACACCGAAACTATGGAATTTTCTTCCAAGCAAAATTACAAGAACTATCATTTGGTCTTTAAAATTGTTACTTTCAACAGGAAATTTACCAAACGAAAAAGTCTTTTTCAATCATTATCCCGTTTGGTTCTTTTGAGAGCTAAATTATGGCATACAGGCTTTGAGTCAGTCAGCCGTACTGTCCCAGATTAGGCTTAAATCTACAGAGAGGCATTTTTGTAGAAGCTTATATGCATTATCATTATGTGACTTGCGATTGTAGCCGATATAAGGCGCGCCCTGATAGGCCAATACTAGGGCATTATTCTCCCGTAATGCCCACGGGCCGATAACAGACCAGCAAAAACCAAGCAAAGTTGAGCCATAAAATAAACTACTTATTAACCTCGAACGTTCGGTGTTTACGGAAAAATCTAAAACCTTGGCCTTGCCGTATTGACCGAGCGATAGCGAGGTCAATACGGCGAGGTCTCGGTCTGAGATAGACCTCACTCTCGGTTAATAAGTAGTTATTAATGGCTTATAAATTCAGCATCGTACAAGTGTCCTCGACTGTGGAATCCTCAATAACATATTCTCGGATCGAATTTCGCGATCACTTTGAGTAACATAGTCTTTGTATGAATTCTATCGATTCTATTGAACAAGTCCTTGGTTAAAACACCCTAAAAGCGTC